GGTCTTGTCCCACACCGACCCCACTGTGACCCAGGATGAGGGAGAAGGAGAGGAGGGTGTGCTGGGGCTGAGGGGAAAATGTGGGGCAGAGGAACAAAGGGAAAACACGATCATGGTCTCTGTCCCCAAGGTCAAGCCCTTTGGGAAGGGGACCAGGACTCAAAGGATGGGACTGGGCAGTGCTGGCACATCACTCCCCTGCAGCATCCTTCCAGCCCCACCATGGCACATGTGCCCTGAACAGGCATTTGGGGCATTCAGGAGCTGCACCTGAGCCCAGACAGGAGGACTCTGAGCCAGGGATGTGATGGGGCTTGGGAAACCAAATCTGGGATGGGTGGCAGAGGGCAACAAACCCAGCAGGAAGCCCCCTTGACACAAGGCTGCCCCTCATCCCCACGCTGGCTCTGGCCTGGCAGAGCCCAGGGACATGCCCAGAGACTGGGCTTGAGCAGAGCCTGAGCTGGAGACTTCTCCACAAGGAATAACTAAAATAAAGGAGTGCAGGCAGTCTGTCTCTTATGGGTTGTGATGCTGGCACGTTCCTGGCAGTACAAACCCACTGCTTTGTGGATTCCTCAGTATTCCCAGCTGGACAGCAAAGCCAGACAGTGCCTGTGCTCCTCCCTCTCCACACCGTGATTCCCAAACTAGTTGATAAATTAAAATAGCCCAATAAAACCACCCGAAACGAACACTTTCTCAGGGATTAAACCAAGCCCAAAATGCCAACATCATGAGCAGTGAGCCACACAACTGGAGATGCTCCAGTCCCTCTGCTGCAGGGATCCATGTCTGACCCTCTGAGTCACCCCCAGGTTTGGGTGGGAACATGTCCTGGGGTGCAGCAGAGCTTCAGCTCCTATGTCTCATTTTGGGGGGACACAGTGTGACCCATAAAGAGGGCACTGGTGCAAAGCTGCCTGCAGGAGAGGAGCTGGGCCCAGGCGAAGGGGATGTGCCTGATGCAGGGCTGCTCCTGCACTGAGGATATTGTCACCCAGGGCGGGAGCAGGGCATGGCCACAGCCTGGCCAGTGCTGGCCCAGCTGCTGCTCCCCATGGCCAGCCAGGGACTGGGCACCCTGGCACCTCCAAAGCGAGTGGCTGGTGCCTCTCAGTGACTTCTCAGGGTCCCTGTGAGAGCCATGCCTGGAGTCTGCCTCCAACCCAAAATGTGTTTGTTCAGTGCTGTGGCCGGCCCAAACACCCACAGGATCCAGCCGTGACAATGGGAACCACTTGGACCCACGGCTCGGTGGGGCCAGCTCAAACCTGGGCTGGAGGAGTGGCCAAGGCAAGCCTGGGAGCACGGCGTGGGATGTGGGAGTGTGGGGTGTGGGAGTGTGGGGTGGGACACAGGACCATGGTGTGGGATGTGGGAGTGTGGGGTGGGACACAGGACCATGGTGTGGGATGTGGGAGTGTGGGGTGGGACACAGGACCATGGTGTGGGATGTGGGAGTGTGGGGTGGGACACAGGACCATGGTGTGGGATGTGGGAGTGTGGGGTGGGACACAGGACCATGGTGTGGGATGCTGGAGTCTGATGGAGCTGCAGGCTTTGGAGCTGGGGGGGGGTTTCAGGCTCCAGCTCCGTGGGAATTTGGATTTGGAGCTGGGGTGGGGATCAGGCTCCAGTCCGGTGCAGGTCAGGCTCTGGGCTGCCCCTATTCCCCCTGGTCCCCCTTCTCTTCCTTCACAGCTCACAAGAAAAATCCTAATGCTTGACGGAGTAATTAATGATAGCTAATTTATCCATTACCCCGTTATGACCAGAGCTCCGGGGGGCTTTCACACAGCTCCCCTCGGTCCCTTGCTTGGGCACAGAACTCAAGGGTCCCCCCAGCCCTCACGGAGCACCCCCGGAGCACCGGGAGGTCCCACAGCAGGACACCCCGGCGTGCTCGGGGACTGGAGGTGGAACGGGACCTGCCCGGAGCGGGACCAGCCCGCAGGGTCACCCCCACCCCCGCTGCCTTTCCCTCCCCGGAGCCGCTGCCAACACGGGGGGACCCCACCCGGGACCCCCTCCCGCCGGCCGGTCACAAACACCGGGAAACTCCCGAAAACTTGGGACCCAGGGCGCGACCCCCGAGCATCCCTCCCTGCGCTGCTGCCCCCTCCCGCAACAGGTCAGGGCCCCCCGCCCCGCGCCCTCCCCGCAACTTTCCCGGCGGACAAACTTTGTGCGCGGCCACGGGGAAAGTTCTGGGGGGGTTCCGTGGGGAGGGGCGGCCCCACGCCCCGAGCCGGGACCCCCCCGCTCGTGCCGGTGCCTCCCGGTGCCTCCGCCGCCATCGCTCCCGGCTCCGCGGCGCGGGGCGGGAGGGCGGCGACACCGCGGTGTCCCCGCTGCCGCAGCCCCGGGTGGGAGCGGGGGGCGTTGGGGGGCTGCAGGGGCACGGGGGGGTTCGCGGAGGACTCACCGGCGGCTGCACGGGGCGGCGGCGGCGGCTCCGGGCCCGGCGCTGGGTGCGCAGGAAGGAAGAAGGAGGGAATGAGGCAGGGCTGACGTGAAGGGATGCAAAGCAGCTCCTCCTAACTCGCCCGCCCTTCATCTTCCTCCCCCTCCTCAACTTGCCCGACCACCGCGAACCGCCCCCCCGGTCCGGCAGCATCTTCCACCAGAGCCGGGGCCGCCCTCGGTGCCAGTTTGGGGGGGTCAGAGGTGGGGGGAGTGAGGGTGGGAGTGGTCGATGAGGACCCGGTGCCCGCACTGTCCCTGCATTATGTCCCCTCCAGCAGCACAGGGGGCATTTTCTACCTCACCCTTCGTTCCTGGGGGATGTGAGCCCATATAATGATGCCGAGGAGGGGATGACCTTCTCAATGTCCAGCTGGGCATTGCTCTCCTCTGCTACGGGGGTGGGAAAGGTCAGGTGCACCCCAAAATGCTTGTAGGGATTGATGGCAAGGACTCCTCTCTCTCCAGAAATGTGATGAGAGGAATTAGGATGTTACAGGAATTGGAGGGGTTTGGGGGGAATGCTGCTCACCCGACACAAAGAGGAGGAGGGAAAGGCCATGGTGTGCAGGGGCAGGGTGGCAGGAGGTGGCCAGAGGAGGGGAGTGAGATGGGATGTGGAGCAGTGATAGCAAAGGGAGCAGGTGATCCCGAAGTTGGAGCGTTTGGGAAAGGGGGTGCTGCTGGCGTCCCCAAGAAGGGATAGGGAGAGGCTGAGCTGCGTGGCGGTGGGGATGTGGTAGCAGGAGGCAGCTGGGCCCCAAAGGGAGGGACAGGGCTGGGATGGGGCATGGAAAGGTGAGTGGGTGGCAACGGCCAAGGACCTGTGGGCTGCAGGCTTTGGCTCCCATCGTGAGGAGGAGGAGGAAAAGGAGGAAGAGGAGGATGAGGAGGAAGAAGAGGAGGAGGGTCTCCTCCCCATAGAAGAAGGAGCATGTGGAGGCATTGATTCGACTGGTGTATCGGGAGATTCTCATCTCCATGGAAGCAGGTGGCGCCGGCCGGACTAATCACAGCAGAGTTTGTCTCCACACGCAGCCCTTTGTCTGGGCTCCCTTCTGCTTTTTTTTTGTTTTTTTTTTTTTTTTTTGTGCTCATGGTGAAAACTGAGCCCCCTGCTCTGTCCCCGCTGCCACTGCCGGTGCTCACATCCCCCACAGCCGGTCACATCCCTGCTGCTGCCCGCCGGCCCAGCCGGGACGGAGCCTCCTGGAGCCCGGTGGTGTCACCTGTCCCCAGAGTGCCACTTCCCTCCCCGCGTTCCCAGCCCGGCCTCGCCCCGCACGTGGCCTGGGAACGGCTCTGCCTGCACAAATATTTGCCAATCCTGGCGGGGACAGACGAGGCGCAGGGAGATTCGCTGCTTTGAATTCCCGTGGGTGCCCAGGCCAGGGGTGTGCCTGAAGCTGCCACCGGGCACGGCACGGACCGGCACACGGGGACGGGCACGGAGGGAGGCACGGATCACGGAGCACGGCACCGGGGAGCACCCGGGGTGGGACACGGAGCGGGAACAAAGCAGGGCACAGGGCGGGGAGCAGGGCGGGACGCGGAGCGGGACACAGAGCGCGCTGCACCGTGCGACACGGAGCGGGACCGGGAACGGCACCCGGAGCGGGACCGGGAGCGGAACCGGGCCAGCCCCGGCACCTCCGGCTGTCAGCGAGCAGCGGCCCGCCCGCTCCAGCCAATCAGGACGCGCATTCAGAAGGAAGCGGCCACCTCAGCCAATCAGAACGCGAATTCAGGAGGATGCAGCCATCCCAGCCAATAAGAACGCGGATTCAGGAGGCAGCTGCCTCAGCCAATCAGAACGCGGAGGCCCCAGACTGCAGCCACCACAGCCAATCAGGACGCGCGGTCTCCTGCTCCCGGTCACTCCGTGGCTCTTCCCATTCCCTCTCCCCGTTCCTCCCAGCCCACCGAGGCGCTCACTCACCCTTCTCTCCCTGCCCTCGATGTCCCTCGCCGGTCCCGCCGGCCTCGAGGAGCCGTGTCCGTGCCGCCCGGGTAAGGGCCCGTGGCTAGCCGCCGGTGCCACGCGGGGTTGCCCCGCCCTTTTCTCACAGTCGCCAGCACGGGGCGCTGTTGCCGGTGTGTGACCGCGCTGGGGGGCAGCGGGGCCGGGCAGCGGCCGCTGAGCTCTGACCCCGCCGGTGCCCACGCGCACGCCCCCTCCGGGCAGACAGAGTCGCTGCCCCTTTAAAAGAGGGCGTGGCCTAGCGCATAGCCCCGCCCCCTGCGCGCCGAGCCGGTCCCGGCGGGGCTGGTGCGCCCCCTGGCGGCGCGCGCGGGGAGCAGCTGTCCCGGTGGTCCCGGTGGTCCCGGCGGGGGCAGCGACCGCCGCATCCCGGCTCCAGACCTGCCCGTCTGCCCCGTCGGGCTGCGAGGAACGGCGGCAGGCCTGGTGCCGGGGAGGCCCCGCCTAGGAGCGGCTGTGATCGTTCCCGCGGCCCGGCGGCTCCGCAGGGTCAGCCCGGCTCAGCCCACCGGAGCCCGGTGCGCTTCCGGGGCGGCCGAGGGGCTTCCTGCGGCGGGTGTGCGGCCCGGTGGTGCTGGCAGTGCTGCTCCCGGCCCGGCCCGGCCCGAGGCGCCGCCGGGATGATCAACGCCATCCTCGTGTTCAACAACCACGGCAAGCCGCGGCTCGTCCGCTTCTACCAGCACCTGGTGCGCCACCGGCACCGGCACCGGGCGGGGCCGCACGTGGGGCTGCGGCGGCGACTGCCTGAGCCCGGTGCGGGCCCGGGACCGGGGGCAGTGCGGGGCTGCGGGCGCCGGGGGAATCCGTGGGCGGGGGTGTCCCGGGAGCAGGGGCGGTCGGTGCAGCATCTGCCGGTGTCCCGGTCCCGTCCTTCAGGATGCCCCGGGTCATCCACGGGTGGCACCGGGACTGGCTGTCACCCGGAGCCGCGGGGTCACGGCGGTCCTGGGACAGTGGGGGACAGCGGGGTCCCACGGGTGGGATGTGCATCCGTGGGTGCCCACCCACCGCGTCCTCCCGGCAGGCAGAGGAGGTGCAGCAGCAGATCATCCGTGACACCTTCCACCTGGTGCTGAAGCGCGATGACCACATCTGCAACTTCCTGGAGTGCGGCAGGTAGGGTCGTGCCGGGCTGTCCCCGGGCCCCGCGGGCTGCCCGGTGTCCCCCGAGCCCCTGAGCCCTGCCCGTGTCCTCACAGCCTGTTCGGCGGCTCGGATTACAAGCTCATCTACCGGCACTACGCCACGCTGTACTTCGTGTTCTGCGTGGACTCCTCGGAGAGCGAACTGGGCATCCTGGACCTCATCCAGGTGTGTCCCTGCAGGGCCCAGCTTCCCTTCCCTGGCACCGTTCAGGGGTGTTTCATGCCCGTGGCATCCCTGTGCCAGCCCTTCTGAAGGGCCTGAGGAGCCCTCGGGGCCCTGGTGGGGAGGGAGGATACATGGAGTACCTGAACTTCTGCATGGGAGCAGCAGGGAAGTCAATCTGAATGAATGTCTTTTAAAAATAGAAGTACAGAATGATTTAGTGTGGGAAAGACCTTTGGGAGCGCCAAGTGCAACCATTAATCCTGGGATCCGGAATCCCAGGTTGGAAGGGATCTCAGGGATTGTCTGGTCCAGCCTTTCTTGGTAAAGCACGGCCTAGACAATGCCCAACATCCTGGCTTGTGAAAAATATCCAGTGTTGGGGAATCCCTCACTTCCTCATGGAAATTATTCAATGGTTGTTTCTTTGGAAAAAAATTTTCCCCTTGTGCCTTGTTGAAATGTCCCCAAGAGGAACTTGTGCCCATCACTCTGTCTTTCCATGTGACTCCTAGTATGATGGGAGTTTCCAGCTTTGTAGCCACTCTTTAAGCACCAGGATATGGGAAGAAAGTCCCCCCAAGTCTCCTCTTCTTCAGACTGAGCCCCCTCAGCTCCCTCAGCCCCTCCTGGGGCTCCAGCTCCTTCCCCAGCTCCATTCCCTGCCCTGGACACGCTCCAGGGCTCTCTTGTTGGGGGGAGCCCAGAGCTGTCCCAGCACTGGAGGTGCCCCAGCAGTGCCAGCACAGGGGATAGGCACTGCCCACGCTGGGGCTGACACAAGCCAGGTGCCATTGGCCTCTTGCCCACCTGGACACACCTGGGCTCACGTTCAGCCACAGTCACCAGCATCCCTGGGTCCTTTTCCAGCTTTCCAGTCACTCTGTGCCATGCCTGGAGTGTTCCTTGGGGTGGGTGTGACCATCTTGCCTGGTCTCTGTCTGCCCCAGGTGTTTGTGGAGACGCTGGACAAGTGCTTTGAGAATGTCTGCGAACTGGACCTCATCTTCCACATGGACAAGGTGGGTGGTGGCCCCGCGGCTGCTCCTGAGCCTGCATTTCATGGCTGGAGCTGGCCAGGAGAGTGAGGGGATGGCTGGGCTCACTTTGGAAGGGACAGATCCTGTATGGGAAGCTTTCAGCCCGTGCTCTGCAAAAGCCACACTCACATTGTGACCTCCCAAAGAGAGACCCGAGTGCTGGGCTGCTCCGAGCCCAGGGGACCGTGCCCAGCCCTGGGGCTGCCCCGGGGCCGCCTGGCCGTGGGCAAGTGACTGATCTGTGCTCCACAGCCAGCACTGGTGGAGCTGGGCAGACCGTGACTCCTCCTGGGAGTTATCATTTTACTACAGCTGCGGGGGAAAAAACGGGAAAGGAACAATGGGAGTGTTTGGAATTCCAAGTGCTGGGTAAACTCTGGTTTGAGCCATAGTCTGTAATACTTCCTCTCGAGCTGGATGGAGATCCTGGGCGGAAGCTGTCTCCTTTGATCATGTCCTGGGCTGCAAGGCTGAAGATAACTGGGAATAGATAGCCAGGAGTAGCCTTGGAGCAGGGAGAGGCTTGGCTGGGGGTGCTGGGCTTGCGTTGCTGTTGGTCAAGATTTTCTTACTTTGCTGAAGACAAAAACGTATCAACAAAAAAGAGCACCGGGAAAAAAATGTGTAAAATGCTCCTTTTCCATTGGTCATTCCAGCTGGGGAACTGGCAGGGAAGGGGAGTGAGCAGGTCTGGTCTGTGTTACCAGCTGCTGAGGTTGGGCTTTCATTTCACCATTTACCCTGCTGTAAACTTTCCAAAATGCCACAACATCTTATCAGCAGAAGTGTTTATCACAGTAGGGGGAGGTGTATCAAAGCAGCTGTGGGAGAAGCGTTGGCAGCTGCCCAGTTCACCTCTGCCCACAGCTGGGGGAGGATATGCTCATGGGCACTGACTCTGGCATGGGCAGGACCCAGCAGCTTTCACTCAGCCTTACTCTCAGCTTTCCATGAGCTCTGCATGTAAAACACTGAGCCTCACAGCCAGCCCTCGGGCTGGGCACGTCACCTCTTTGCCAGCAGCAGTGGGGTCACCCTTCCTGTGACCTCTCCTGCCTGGAAGAACATTCTCAGGGACAGGAATCAGGGGTTTCTGATAGTGGAGGCCCCAGCTCCATTATCAATCACTGCAGGCTCTCCCAGCCCTGTTTACTTCCCATCCAGTGCTGCTTCCCAGCTTGGACTGGAGTCCTGGCCATTATCAGTTGGTCCTCCTGTCTCTTTCTATATTTGGCCCATGTTTATTTCTCAGATGTGCTCATGTTCCTGTGCTCGCAGGAGTTCGGTTGCAGAGGGTTGCAGTGTTTGGGGTGCTGGGAATGTGGTGGTGTGTCCTGCTGGGCCCAGGCAGGGCCATGGGCAGGACTGTGAATGTCTCCCTGGGCAGGGGATGGTGGGGTGCAGGTGCGACTTTGGCTGCATTCTGTAATTTCTCTTTTTGCCTTAAGTTCCACCTTGCACTACCTGCAGCACAAGGGCCACGGGACCAGAGCTGTGGTGGGTCTGGGGTCCTACTCCTGCCATGGGCTGATGGAGGGGACATTGATCGGGCTCCAGTGACCCCAGTGCTTGTGGCTGTCGGCTTGGGGAGCCCCAGGCTCAGAGCTGCAGGGATTCCCTGTCACAAGGGCAGGCTCAGGGTGGGCTATGCCCAGCTCTCAGTCGTGCTTTCCACCTTGGAGGGGAGTGTGAGCTGCACTCAGCAGCTGTGGGGTCCCAGAGGGGACACGGATTGCTCAGGAAGTGATGTGCTTTGGCTTAGAAAACAAAACTTGCTCAGGATTTCTGCCCTGTTGTTTTGGATCCAGCTTGGGCCGAAGCCAGATCTTGAAGGAATGTTTCCTCATGCTCCCATATCCTTTTTGGCTGCTTGCTCCAGCTGCTTCAGCGTGCACAGCGTGCACAGGCACTGGGCTGTGGGATGGGGGTTCCAGGGCTGGGGAGGTCCTTGGGGCTCACCCTGTGCCCTGCTGATCCCACACACCTTCTGCTGCTCCAGGACCTGTGGGGAGCCCCGGGATCACCTCACTCTTGTCTGGGGTCACCTCCCAGAGCTGGGATTCCCTCAGAGCAGGTTCTCTCTTGCCTTCATTCCCCCGGATCATCCCGGTGGTGGTAGCACAAGGTGGTAACAAGTGCATAACAAGTGCATCCTGGCTCTGAAACCATAAAATAATCTCAAAAAACCCCCAAAAAACAACAACAACAACAACAAAAAACAAAAACAAAAAGAAAAACAACAAAAAACCCAACCATAAAATAATCTCAAACCCGATGTTGTTCCTGTGTTCTTTCACGGAAGTGAAACTGGCACCCATAAATCGATTATCGGTGCTGGGAGCTGCTGACTCTGCAGGGAATGCTGAACTGAGCCAGCTGCAGGAGCTCAGGGTGGTTGTAGCCACTGGTACAATCTGTCTGTTGCCTTGGGGCTGATTGCAGTTCCTGGGATGCAAGTCAGCAATGTTCCTTTCCCTGCTCTGGCTTTGTGATTGCACTGCCTCTGCCTGGCTGCTCATCCTTGGAGTCGAGGGATCCCAGGAAAGGAGCAGACTCCCTTGGCAGTTCTGTGCTTTTTCTGTGCCAATGTCACAGTCCTGACCTTCCTGAGAGACAGTGGAGAGGCCAGGCTGTGGCCTGACTTTCTGAGGACTAGTGTCCTGCCCAGTGAGGACCCTGCTGCCTGCTGGGGTCATCTCCAGGACACATTCCTGCTGTAACCTGGCTCCTGGCCCAGGCAGGGAGCAGCCATGTGTGGGGATGGCACAGCCAGGCTGTGCCAGTGGGATGAGCACATGTGGCTGCTCCAGGGGCTGCTGTATGCCCAGTGGGTGTCACCTAGACAGGGGTGAGTGGGGCTTTGGGAGTCCCCTTGGCCAGCCTTTCACTCTCCAGGCAGTGCAGGGGTCAGGGGTAGATTTGTGTCCCTTGGGGAGGTGCTGGCCCCTGACGGGACCGGGCTCTCAGCCTTCTGTTCCCTCCCTCCCTCCCTGGCAGGTCCACCACATCCTGCAGGAGATGGTGATCGGTGGGATGGTGCTGGAGACCAACATGAACGAGATCGTGGCACAGGTGGAGGCCCAGGGCAAGCTGGAGAAGGCAGAGGTGAGCGGTGACACTGCAGCTCTGCCCTGCAGGAGCTGACAGAACCTGGGCTGCCAGGGTGTGGCCCATGGGGACAGGGGTGGCCCATGGGGACAGGGGTGGCCCATGGGGACAGGGGTGTCCAGGGTATTGCCAGTGCCTGCCTGAGCCCTCGGGATGGGGTGGGGACATCCCTGCCCAGGGGTGCTGCTCAGGAGTGCAGGGAGCTGCCAGAGTGTGGAAGTGGTTCTTCTGCCAAGGTTAATGACCCCAGGCCATGAAAGGTTTATAAGAGATGTGGCTGTGGAAGGGCTGTGGGTGGGGCTGGTGGTCACGGTCCCTCTGACCCCAGGGAGGTCTCTCAGCTGCTCCTTCCCGTGCTGTGTCGGCCGTGAAGAACATCAACCTGCCCGAGATCCCCCGCAACATCAACATCGGCGACATCAACATCAAAGTGCCCAACCTGTCACAGTTCATGTGAGCAGCCCGTGCTGGGGGCTGCCTGCTGAGCAGAGCTGGGGTCCCTGGCTCCTCCCGGGGCTCTGCTCATGTGGCATACAGGGGCTGATGGTGGCTGAGGGCAGGGAGCAGTGGCAGGGCTCAGAGAATGGGCTGGGGGGTCCCTCCCGCTGGCCCTGGGCTCAGTTCTGCTCTCTGGTCCCCCAACAAGGAGGGTGCCCTTCCTTCCCCCTGTCCCTGCAGATGTGCAGCCTCTCCTTGCTGGGAGGAAGAGTTGGCTTGGGGAAGGGTTGCCTCTCCTGGGATTCTTGGGATTCCCAGTGGTGAAAGTGTGCCTGTAGCGCTGGCTCTGTCATCCTCCCAGCCATGGCTGTCCTCTGCTCTCTGTGATGGGCCCTGGCTGGGTGGGGGTCACTCATGGGGGCTGCTGTGTGTCCTGGGGACAGTGTGAGGGGACATGCTGGAGCGGGGATGTGGTAGCAGGAGGAATGGGAGCTGAGTGACCTGGGGGACGGGCAGGGTCAGGCCAGGCTGGGGCTGCTGGAGTGTGTCCCTGTGTGCCAATAAACTGCCCTTGAACCCGTGTCTGTGTCTGCTGAGGGTGCTGCTGGTCGGGGAGGGGGCTGGGGGGTCTGTGCAGCCCTTGGGGCTTTTGGCTGGTGGAGACCCCGGAAGTGGGAAAGGGGGCCCCAGATGCCCCAGGGGAGAGCAGGGGGCTCAGGGCAGGGTGGCTGGCTGCACCCTCTGCTCTCAGCAGGTAAGGACAGGGTGATGGCCCTGCTCAGGCTGCGACAGCGGTGTCCCCAGCTTTGGACCTTTGGTGGCAGGTCACCCCCTGAGCTGCCTGAGCACTGGCAGCTATCTGGGTGTGTGGGAGCTGTGGGGTTGTGGGGCTGGGGTCCTCTGAGGCCGGGGAGGAGCAGGGCTCGTCCTGGGGTTCAGAGTGACCCTGCTGGGCTCTGTCAGCCATGTACCCCATGCCTCTGGCTCAGTCGAGGCTCCATCTGGCCACCAGCCCCTGGGGCTGGCCAGAGGCCCTTCCTCTGCTCCCCAGCTGTGCTCCGGGTTCTGCTTCCACTTCCCCTGGCAGGGAAACCTTGACTCTGCCTGGAAGGAATTTTCCCCTCCCTGCAGCTTAACCCTTCCCCAGCTGGCCAGTAGCCACATCAGTGCTCCTGAAGGTCAGGGAACAGGGCAACCTGCTGTGTCCTCTTCTCTGCTGGCTTTCCTCCTCCTCCTCCTCCTTCTCCTCCTGTAGGTGAAGGGTGCAGGTGAGTCACTGAGCCCGGGCCGTGTCCTGGGGCTGGGACGCTGAGTCCGGCAGGACCGAGACACTCGGAGGGGACGCTCCGGGCTTACCTCATGGCGAGGGACTTGGCGAGGTGCTGGCAATCTGCTTTGTGCCAGGCCGGGGTCTGGGGGCTGGGCTGCCATGGGCAGTGTCCGTGTTCAGCCCCACGCCACAGCATCCCCCTGCTGTGCGGCCACACGTGCTCCCCCTGCACTCCCGTGTCCTCCCCCTGCACTCCCGTGGCTCTGCTGACAGCTCCGGCCCCAGCGCCCCGTCCTGGGCTCGCCAAAGCCGCAGCCCCGCAGTTCTGCGGGACGGGGGAGTCTGAGCACCGTGGCCGTGACCGTGACCCAGCCAGCGCAGCCCTTCTGCGCCCCGGCCGCTCTCTGTTCAGGCTGGGATGAGCCGGGGCGAGCTCCCAGCCCTTCATTTCCCCTCCCGAGCCGGTGGCTGTGGTTGTGCGGGAGCCGGGACCCCGCTCTGTGCCCCGAGGGCAGCGCTGGCTCGGTCCCCAGACTGGGGATGCGGCCCGGGAAGGGCTGTGCAGGGCAGGGCTCGCTCCGAGCCCTGCAGGCGATGGGGCTGGAGGCTGGGGATGGCTCCTCGCCCCCGGCCACTGCCTCCCCCAGCTGTGGCGGGCTGTGACACGCACGGGTTTTGCTGGGACAGCTCTGCCCGCAGGAGCGTGTTCCCAAAGCCAGCACCCCTTCCCCTCAGAACTGCTGCAGGCTGGGGGAGCCCATGCTGTCCCCCCTCCCGGCCGGCAGACAGGAGGTTAAGGGGGCGAGAGCTCCGGGTTCCTGCCCCGGAGCTTTGGAGGAAGCTTTCCTTCCCCTGGAGCTGCGAGCGAGAGCTGAGACGGACAGTCGGGCGGAGAACAGGAGGACAGGCAGGACAGACAGACACACACGTGGGGCGCGGGGAGCAGGACCAGCGCTGGAGGGACCCCGCTGCCCGCTACTGTCCCCCGCTATCCCCCGCTGTCCCTTGCTGTCCCCGCTGTCCCCTCGCTGTCCCCCCGCTGTCCCCGCTGTCCCCCCACTGTTCCCCCACTGTCCCCCCGCTGTCCCCTCGCTGTTCCCTCGCTGTCCCCGCTGTCCCCGGCTGAGCGCAGGAAGGTGAGGGGGGCACTCTGCTGCTGCGGAGGCTCTGCGGGGTGCGAGGAGGTGACCAAGCGGGAG